TCGTGTGGGGAGAAACTACAGAATTGTGTGGGGAGAAACTACAGAATTGTGTGGGAAGAAACTACAGAATTGTGTGGGGAGAAACTACAGAATTGTGTGGGGAAACAGGAAACTACAGAATTGTGTGGGAAAAAACTACAGAATTGTGTGGGGAGACATGAAACTACAGAATTGTGTGGGAAAAAACTACAGAATTGTGTGGGGAAACAGGAAACTACAGAATTGTGTGGGAAGAAACTACAGAATTGTGTGGGGAAACAGGAAACTACAGAATTGTGTGGGAAAAAACTACAGAATTGTGTGGGGAAACAGGAAACTACAGAATTGTGTGGGAAGAAACTACAGAATTGTGTGGGGAGACAGGTAACTAAAGAATTGTGTGGGGAGACAGGAAACTACAGAATTGTGTGGGGAGAAACTACATACCATAGGGGATTGACCACAGGTGTTTTCTCAGCAGAGGGTCTTTGATCAACGGGTGTATAATCACAAGCGCTGTGTCCGCTTTTGACCACAGGTGTTTTGTCCATGTAGGGTCTTTGATCACAGTTGGTTTGTTAATGTAGGATCTTTGATTACAGGTGGTTTGTCCAATGCTGGCGTTTGATAACAAGCGCTTTGTCCATATATTGTAAGGATTAATTTTAAAAGTTGTGTAATTACATTTTAAATTGCGACAGGATGTAATAATGTGTTAATTCATCATGTATAAATACAATTAATCTAAACCATACAAGTATTACTTCTTTGACTATGTGTTGACATATTTATTTATCCTTTGTTATCCTTTATATTTATGTATTTTAAATACATCTACATTATTTATTTGTGAAACTTGTTATGTCTCGTTATTTGTGTTCCATTTATATTTAAAATAAATCTATGTCGCCTAGCACCAGCCTTTATGTGTAGACTAAAATATCTTTATTGACTTTTTTTTAGTACATGTTAATTTCAATTAATGGGCTCTTAGGAAACATATATAAAATATTACTAATTGTATCATAAGTTTAAATCAAATAACAATTAATCATTTTTATTTTAAAATCTATATACTATGGTTAATCCCCGTCTGTTTTACGTTTATTTGGTGCGCAAATGTAAACATAATAATTTGACCCAAATGTACTTATTTTAGCTTTAAATATAAAGTTTTCTGAAAATTAGTAAAAGGCCGTATAATATCCATAGCCGGAATCAAAAATATTGTATCATGATTAAAATTGAAAATTTTAGAATTTAAAAAATCTCACCCTTAACAGACAATGTTTTAAAATTTAAAAATTTTTTCTTTAAAATTCAAATTGTTGATAATGATATTTGAAAGCTACTTGCCAAATTCCAAATACCTAGTGTTTATAAAATATTTATAAAAGAGTAATAAATGTATTTATTTAAAAAATATGTTACTCATTTTAGTTTACTTTAACAGTTTTGCTAAATAAAGAGTTTCTGATAATTGTTAAGGAGCTCTGGCCTCCCGGAAAAACCTATCTGTAAAGGACCATGACATGTCTGTTTTGTAATCAGCATATATCCGGCATTGCCCACCTTAACCACAACCAACCAAAACCAAAACCCACAAAAAAAAAAGAACCGCGAACATAACACAAACTAACCCAACACCAACACCAACACCAACACCAACTCAAACACAACACAACACAACACAACCACAATCACAATCACAACACAAAAAAAAACACCACACAAACAAAACAAAACACAACACAACACAAACAAAACACAACACAAACAAAACACAACACAACACAACACAAACAAAACACAACACAAACCGGGACGGCTAATATTATATAAAATTGTATATCTTCTTGTAGTTTGATGCAGGTGTCTATAAAAGAGCTTTCTGTAACCTTTATGTAAAGAAACATGACATGTGTGTTTAGTAATCAGCATATACCCGGCATTGCCCACCCTAACCACCACCAGCCAAAACGAAAACAAAAATAAAGAACACTAATTCAAACGATAACACAAACGCAAACCCAACCACAAATACAAAACCAACCACAAACACAAATACAAACACAAACTCAAAGAAAAAAAAACACAAACGAAAACAAAAAAGAAAGAACAAAAACGAACAAAATCAAAACGCAAACCCAACCTAGACACAAATAAATCACAAACGCGAACATAAACGCAAAGTGCTCACAGTCTAGCCCGGGGCGCCAAATCGCACCATGCTGGGGCGCCGGCAGAATCGCCTGTTTTAGCTTAATAAACGACTATAATACCCCAACTTATTCATAATATTTTGCACTCACTTAAACGAACGTAGGCGCCAAATCGAACACGGGAGGCCAGGGGCCCCAAGTAGCACCCTGTCTGGGCGCCAGAGGACAATTATAATACTCCAAGCTTATCCGTAAACGGAAAGAAATAAACATATAGGACATATAGGACCTGGCTTATTAACTGTTATTGATTTTAAGAATCAATCTTGATCAATCCCCGCTAATTATGCAATTATTTTTCTCCAACACCAAATCAAAGTAATAAAAAGTAAATTCTTTTCCACTAATGCAATGATTTATAAAGGGAAGTAATTGTGTTTTCCTAATTTATCAAAGGGAAGTAAGTGGTAAAGGACTAAATAAAAATAATTTTCAAACATAATTAGAATTTTTGTAAAAGATGATATTTTTTTAAAAATTGTGTTTAATGAACATGCCGACAAATACTACTATCAGTTAGAAAAATGAAAATTATTTCCCAACCCTTTAAGTATTAATTTTTTAACTCATAAATTTAGACCATAAGTACTTTAATAATCTAACAATTTAATCCATCAGAGTTTCGATTTTTTTGTTTTTTGTTATATTCCTTTGTAATTCACGACAAACATTTTACAAACATTTTACATACAGAATTGAACTTTAATAAGACGCCGCGGTGCACTGAAAAGCACTCTGGTTTCTCTTCACATCGAGTAAATCTTTCGCCTTTTACTAAAGATTTCCGTGTTTCCTCAATTGAACGATGTAATCCTCCAGTACGATGATGTATGCAAAAATTATCACCGCCAGCAAAGAGTTGCGCTCTTGATTGTTCCCTCTGAGTCGAGAGACCTGGAGAGGAGCCACCCGGACTACGGTTCGGGTGGCTTAATGAAATCCTGGGCCCAATCCTTTCAGCCAAGACAACAGCAATCCTGAACCTACGTGAGGAACAATGCCGAGACCTGTACCCAGCAGAAACACCCACTATTCAAGTTCTGATCATCTCAAAAGGTCAACCAAACCTGCGAGACCACATCTTGAGACAACTAATCAGAACCAGCAGATCCTTCTTCTAAATTATGGCAGAGCAGATACTTGGTTTTTCACCTCTCAAGCCTTTGATGTTACCACGTTACACAAAACACACAAAACTCCATACACACTGCACTTCACACTACACGAAAAAAAAAACAAGATCAATGGGACCCTTAGATGGGTACCCCCTACACTCAACAACGCCACTCACATGCAAGCATTACAACCCTACAGCAACAAAGAACCATCCATAACCACGATCCCCCAAACTAGTAACCGCAGCTTCACTATATACACCGACAACCCAACAACAATCCCACATTACATTCAACTAAATTACAAAAATAAATCACTGAACATTCTTATAGCAATTGCTGGAAGAAGGCAGGCGTGCCAATTCTGCTCCTCAACTCTACATTGGTCCAACCAATGCCAAGCTTTCAACCCAGAGTCAACGCCCAAGGACCAACCTTCAGCACAAAATACTGCGCCACCTGCACCACAAGCTCCATCATCAAGCAAAATCCAAAACTCTCCAACCAGAGACGCAGCAAAAGACCCAGAGACAGAAGCAACAGACACGGATTCAGAAATAGAAACCGCTTCGTCAACAAAAAGGAAAAATCAATCGAGTCCCACAGAACAAGGAAAAATAACTAAATTTTAAAAAATCGAGAAACTAATCCACGATCACCTAACATGCATCTTCTGCCCCAGCTCGTACCAAACAGTTAAGGAAGTACTAAATCACGAAAGAACAGAACACACTTAGCTCAAACAATGCAACTTCTGTAATGATGCAAAAACCCACAATGACTTACATTGACACTACACGGAAAAACGCAACAACAAAACTAACTTCAGTTGCTTCTTTTGTGATAAAAATCTCCCAGAAAAAAGCATCCATCATCACGTATAAGCTCACCATTCAAATCTCTTGTCTCAGAAAGAAAGGGAGAGAGAAAGTCATAAGGTAAAAGAGTACAGTTTCACAGTTCAGAAGGGAAAGAAGTAGTCAATTAAAAATTTAGACGTTTCGTTATAATGGAAAAACAAATAATTGAACTTTATATATTAGATTTAAACTATACCCGGAACTAAAAGAAAGAAATTGTGAAGAAATTGGAGAACTTTTAGAAATGGTAAAATCTGATCTAGATCTATGTATGACCAAATAGTGAACATTACCATTTTTTTAAAAATAAAAACTAACAATTAATAAAAACCTCAATTAGCATTAGCTTATTATGTTTGTAGTTCTGGCGGTTTGTTGTTATAATGTGCGGATACTCTAGGCCTAATTTTAAAAGCATTGGCTAATGCGTTAAAATTTGTTTATAAAAGAGTAAGAAATATTTATGAAATATAATTTTTTTCTAAATATTTTGCTTTATACATAAACCTAAAATTACATGCTGTAAAACCATTATTACATCTGTAAAATTTTGACGTATGTGTGATTTTGTTTTTTGGCGAATGTTTTTTTTCTCTCCCTTAGTCTGAGTTGTACTTTCCACTTAATGGTATAAATTATTAAACATTGTTAACATTCAAGGCAGTGATTTTAAAAACGCCATATATAATTATAATCCGTGGAAATGTATGTGTGCCAAACATGAAAACATTAGGAACAAGCATAGCATGTCTATTGATCTATTTATACCTACAGGCAGTGCCCTTTAAAAACATTCTTTTGTACAATATAAAACATATAAATGCTCAGGAACACAAATATAAATTTGATATCTCAGCGTTCAGCAGCATGCAGGTTCTAGGGTCTACTGTTGACATGTCTGGGAGTGTTGTTGTTGCTGATGGTGTTGTTGCTGTTGTAACTGGGGGATCTTTTACAACTGTCAATTCTAGCTCACAGGTAACGGTACTGATAATAAACGGTTAGCAATAATCTATTAAAACTATTACCAGGAAACTAAATAAACTAAAATGAATTGTCATCGAATAAGAAATTATTAAAATAAATAATAGGACTGATATATCTAATATATAAAGCTCAGTTCTGTATGTAACGCATGTTTGTCGTTGGTCTTGGATGGATTTGAGTGTTAGACAATTATCGTGCGCATTTGTCTAAATTTATGAGTTAAAAAATTACTATTGAAAGTGTTGGGAAATAATTTTCATTTTTCAAATTATAGTAATAATTGTCGGCATGTTCATTAAACACAAGTTTTTAAAAAATATCATCTTTTACAAAAATTCTAACTATGTCTTTATTTAGTCCTATAGCACTTACTTCCCTTTGAGAAATTAGGAAAACACAATTACTTCCCTTTATAAAACCATTGCATTAGTGGAAAATAATTTACTTTTTATTACTTTGATTGGTGTTGGGAAAAAAAATAATTACATAATTAGCGGGGATCGATCAAGTGCAAATGTTGTAGGTATTTTACGGATAAGCTTGGAGTATTAAAATTGTTCATTAAATTGAAACAGGCGCGTTCGTTTAAGTGAGTGCAAAAGACTATGAATAAGTTGGGGTACTATAGTCGTTCATTAAGCTAAAACAGGTGATTCCGCCCCGGGCGTTTATGTTCGCGTTAGTCTTCTTTCTTCTTCTTCGTTCTTAATTGTTAGTGTTGAAGGGGAACGAGATTTATCTGCCAATGGGTTTGAACTCGAGACTTTGTTCGAATTTATCAACCATGAGCTTTTTTGTCGACTCGACCACGCCTCCAACACAAGTAAAACGTCCTTGAGTCCACTCAGCTCTGATGGGCGCCTTACTCACGTTAGGGAAAATAAAGTCGGCTGGGCAAACTGCTGACCACACCATTCCTTTATGTGCCGAGGTCTATAAACATATGAATTCTACTTCATCTGCCAATTGATCGCTAGGTAGAAAAAAATATTTTTTATTTTTAGACATTACAAATCCTGAAATGTAACAAACACGGTCATAATACGTAACTCATTGAAAAATTTAAATAAAAGAAGAAGCATTTAGAAACACGTACATAGCCTACTTATTAAATAATAATAAGAAATACATAAATACCAGCTGAATAACGATAAGTTATTACAAAAAATGTAAGCTCCTATTACTTTCGAATGAGCAATAAACTTTTCTCCATATCCGTATAGGTCTGGCTTTTGTACCATTTATGGGTGATTATTTTACCACTGATAGCATCAGTTATTATAGAGAAAACCGTTTTAGTGGCTGCAAGAAACTCTGATGACTCCTTATCTGACGAGTGATCCAGGAACCCCAGTCTGGTGTTTAATGTCACCACTGCTATACCTGCATGATATATTTCATTAATTTCTTCTGATTTAAACTATTATAGCAAGTCAAACCAAAATAAGTCTTGTTAAGAATAATTTGTTTTTAACTATTTTAGCCAGTTTAAAAAGGTTTTTTTTTCAATTAGATATACTTTTAAATATAATTCTATATGTAGCTAGACAATAATATACAAAAAAATGATTAGTGTGTTGGTGTGTTGGATGCTACAGAAAGTATTAAAAATATTTATGAAAAATTCCTTATGAAAAAAACCTCGTTATAACTCTTTTTCAAATTTAGACATATCGGAACCAACACCTGATTTCAATCTCTAAGTTTAAATGGTTATTATTGCTATGATTTGTAAAAACTTTTAAAAAATGTAATCATCTTCAATATTATCAAGATCAATTTAAATATGCTAATCCTCCATACTCTCAGAAGCATAGCGAAAGAAAAGATCTTTCATTTCTTCCGGTGTTAACTTTTGTGTGGCCAAAATGTTGACAAAATCATCAGCTACGGCGTTCTGTGGGACCAGGTAATGATAGGCCGAGTCAGCTTTCATTAGTCTTTTGTTGACGGGAGTTCTTAATTTTTGCCACTCTTCTCCTTGTCTGATGGAAAAGAACAAAAATTAAATGATAGCGAAATACAAATAAACTAAAGTACATTGTTTAAAATTCTAACAAACCAAACAGCGTAAATATGCATTGACTTATACTTGACAATCCAATCCATAGGGGTAGATGAGTTTCGGTATAGAAACGTGACTATATGAGTAGCACTTTAAAAAAAAATTTCATTCTCAAGTCAAATCAGGCACACAGTAACGTCAACAAATCAAATTTAAGAATTCACTGTTAACTAATATTTGCTTTCCTACACAACAACCCCTTGCTATAATGATGCGTTATGAAAATTACGGAAAAGCATGTAGAGGTCAATATATTTTCAAGTTTAAAATAATTAATGTTAATATTACTAATTAGGTTCTTTATATATATTACATTTCGGAAAGTGGTAATTTGAGTCCATTCTTTTCATAGATAACTTTGGAAATATCAATTCCAGGTCTGTTTGGATATTTGCCCTCATTTCTGAAGACCGTCTCAATGTCTTTTATGTCCTCCAACAGGACACATTTCCTTCCAAGCTGGACTCGAACCACAGGCCCATACTTCTCGTGCAAGCTGTCAATGAGCTTGTGTGTGGTCTGAGGTGTAAATTTACCTGGAATAAACATAAAACATATTTACTATTATTTTATTTTTGTTCACTTATCTTGCTTAATCTTTGCAGGTCGTCACAACAAACCAGACCCTCAGCACCCACACCCCCCACCCCTACAATGACTTCCATACTTTTCGACTCCAAGTTCAATAAATTATTTTGGTTCTTAACAAACATCTTTCTACCAAAATCTTGTATAAACAAATAAATACTTTTTGTAACTATTGAACTAAAGTAGAAATAAAGTACCATTTCCGCCTACCTTTGCATACAATCAAATACTTATAGTTGAAATTTCGTCCAGTTTTTAATTAAATCTCTCTTTAATTAGGACATACCATATTATACCTCGTCAGTGGCGTAGCGAGGTCGGGTGTAACCCGGTGTGGCACTTAATGGTGTCACCCCCCCCCCAGAGGCGTAGCGACCCTTCCCGGCGACCGGGGACAAACTTTACAAACTTTCAATTTTCGATTTGCATCAACCCTTCAAACTTTCTATTTCCACCCCCCCCCCTCAAACTGCGATTTGCACCCCCTCCACCCTTGTCAGGATTTGCTCTTAAAAGACTTCTTAACACTCGAATTAATCAATTAATTAAGTGGAATTATCATTTTATTTTCTATTTATTTTGCTATTTTTTGCCTTGGTGTCACCCCCCTAAATAGTGTCACCCGGTGCGGTCCGCACCCCCGCCTCCCCCCCCCCCTACGCCACTGTGCCTTGTACTTACCGAAAGGCCTGAAGTGAAAGAATGCTCCGATAACGGGTATATTGTAAAGTCCTTTAGGACCTGGGATCTCTTCAAAAGGTTTCACCTCATCTTTGTTGGCACTACTGGCCACTGACGTCCATCTAATTGGTTGGCTTTTGATTAATGATGGAATGACCCTTGAAACAAGGTCATATTTTCTCAACATTGCTTTACACTAAATGCAGCAAAAAAAAAATCAAATGCAAGCTGTTTATAAACATGTTGAACACAATATTTTAACGTGAAAACAATGTCTATGAAACTACGTGGTTCAGTAACACAACAGGATGTCACTCAGTGGGAAAGGGAAACCAAAGATACCAGAGCTAATGTAGATGCTAAAGAAATAGATGAATTTAAATTTATGTGGTATTAAAGTTCTGGCATCTTACTTTCTAAAAGAAAATAGAGCTTAGGAACTCCACAAATAATATCAACATTTCGGTTTTTAAACCACATTCAAATACAAATACACTTTTCATCCGACATTAATTATGTGTTTGTTTAATTAAACAAATATTTTCAAGAATGCTTACACATGCAGTCTCCTATAGTGTCAATAATTTACACTTTTATTTTAAAAAGATTTAGTGAAGAAATCACTTACCTGAAAGATTATCCTCGCTTAATTCTTAATCGAGTGTGTCTATCTTACATTCTAACACGGACCTGACTTTCCAGCCTTAACCCTCTAGCACCAGCAACAAGGGTTCAGTGACCCGTAACGCACAGTCCATTAAATTCCTCTAATCTTACCGAGCAGTGCCGTGTTCGGAATGTGGTTATTCTAAAAATTCAGTTACATAATTTTGTTAAAAGTTGAAAGCTGGCTTGTTTTCAATGGTTAAATTCCACGAATAAAATCTACAACGTTATAGTAAGCTCTGAATTCATTATGGTGTAAGCTTATGCCTATCTAATATAGCCAGATTATGGATTAGTTTCTATATCAAATGTGGTGATTGAAAAATGTGTGGCGATTTAAATATGTATGTTCATTCATTATAAAATAATAAAAATAGCAATGAAACGATTTAAAAAATGTATATTTAATTCATAAATTGTAATAGCGTTTAAAAATATCTTACTGGTATCCGCCTATGCTGAACTGTAACAAAAATACTGTCGAAACCGCTTGTTTACGTTCTCAAGCAGAGGTCACAAGTAGATAAAAACAAGTGTAGATCAGCTGATGAGGTGAAAGAGGGGGCAGAGGGAAGAATCGTGGGCAAGATAACAGGTTGGGATACTCTGTGTTAGCAGACTTAGTAACACATGGGTCTAGAAGCTGGTAACAGTTTACACGGTTTCTGACTACTTGCACAATTGAGATTATTCATTAAAAAAAATTCTACCCGATGGGCAAATGAGAAAAATATAATTGGCACAATTATATGGCCGCTGACCAAATTGTATAATCGCCATGGTGATTGTGTTGTTACGTTTACGGTGACTACCTAATCTCTTCAATTTCTCATGAATAAATTTGTCATCAAAATATTTTATTAAGACTCTTTGGTTTCTTAAAAGCAATTTAGCAAGTAGGAAGAAACAAAACATTCATAAAATAAATATATAAAATAAATATTTATGATTTTATTATTTCGGTGGTTTTTAGCTTTGTAATTGTTTAAAATCCGATTTATTAAAGGAGGTAAATTTAAAAAAAAGTATTTAATAGTTGTATTTTATCTTTTTTTAAATGATTGCTCGTGTAATAATACATTAAAAATGAACGTGAAAATATAAAAGGTAAAAATAGATTGTTATAGTGAGTTCATAAGGTACGGCGTGGCCTAGCGGTAGAGAGCTAAACTGCAAACCCTTGAGTCTAGAGTTCGAATCCAGGTTGAATAAAGTAGATCGTCAACACAATTCTGATATGTAAATTAAGGAAAACAAAGGATGGACATAGTGCTGCCATACTATATGCTAAGGTATCTGAAACAGATGAACTCTACTTTATCTGCCTCATGTGTCTTTAATACGAACGAGCTTACGCATAATTCGTAAACAGGAAGTTGTCTAAAATCTAAAGTTAAATAGTAGAAGAGAGACTGAAAAATCATTTTCTAAGATAGTTTGTGTTTATATTTTTATTTGTATATATCAAAATCATAATGATTGAGAGACCAACACATATTACAAATTTTATAAGAATTAAAAAAAAACATTTCTCAAACAGCTTGTGTTTACATCCTATATCACATTTTAAACATCCTTTGTGGAAATTGTGTACATATTCATAATGAGAAAAATAGCCCGTTGAGGAAGGATACAGCGGGCGCTAGGCTGATAGTGCTGTCTCTTTTCTCTAAACTAAAACCACCCCACCCCCCCACACACACCACCCCCCCACCCCCCACCCCCAAAAAAAACATGTCTACCGTCCCATTCAACGAAATATAATTATATACTTTTTCCAGTGCCCGCCCCCTCCCCGAAAATTCTACCCCCGCCACCGAAAATTTCAAGTACCTCCACCCCTCTCCGGGGAGGAAAAAGTCTAAACTAAAACCACCCCCCCACACACACCACACCCCCCACCCCCCCCCCCCCCCAAAAGAACATCTCTACCGTCCCATTCAACGAAATATAATTATATACTTTTTCAAGTGTCCGCCCCCCCCCCGAAAATTCTACCACCGCCACCGAAAATTTCAAGTACCCCCACCCCTCTCCGGGGAGGAAAAAGTCTAAATTAAAACCACCCCACCCCCCCCCCCACCCCCCCACACACACACCACCCCCCCCAAAAAAAAACATGTCTACCGTCCCATTCAACGAAATATAATTATATACTTTTTCAAGTGTCCGCCCCCCCCCCCCAAAATTCTACCCCCGCCACCGAAAATTTCAAGTACCCCCACCCCTCTCCGGGGAGGAAAAAGTCTAAATTAAAACCACCCCACCCCCCCACCCCCCACCCCCCCTCACCCCCCTAAAAAACATGTCTACCGTCCCATTCAACGAAATATAATTATATACTTTTTCCAGTGTCCGCCCCCTCCCCGAAAATTCTACCCCCGCCCCCGAAAATTTCAAGTACCCTCACCCCTCTCCGTGGAGGAAAAAGTCTGAAAGAAACACTGGTGTCGCGCATAGCCACTACGCGAAGAATTGCATTAAAGTAATTGCAAGAAAACCACTTTTTAGATTAAACACATTAATTAGGCGGTAATTTTATTATAGAGTATCGATGAGGAAATTTCTTTTGAGTTGGGGAGGGGGGGGGGGGGGGGGGGGGCTCAGACGTTCTTACGCGGGGGTGGGGCTTCGCCCCTACCCGAAGAATTGTATGAAAGAAACTCTTCACGCAAACCACTTAGATTAGACCAACTTGCCTTTGTATTGAATGTTTACTCGATAATCAATGACGTCATATTAATGTGTGCACTATCCGGCTTGAGATTATTTTCTACTCTGTGCTAAATGTGTCGACGTCATACTTCGTTTTTCGAATTACTATGCATGTTTTTATTTTCCTTGTGTTTTCTCTAGAGCGTTCTTGTCAGATAGATACATAGACAGACAGCGAAACTATTAGTATTAATATTGATTATTAAAGTACTTATTTACAAATAAAAACAAATTTTTAGCCATATATAACATAATGAGAGATGTGCCTTTGAATATCCAAACTCTTCAGAGATACATTGTCATGTTTTTATTAACATTAACACAGTGGTTAATTAATAGATTTAAAAATCTTATTATTTTTAAATATTTTTAAGGCATAGAAATACTGTATACAATTAAAAATGATGTTAGATATATTATTTTTTTCAACGTTATTTCAAATTTTTTTTTAAAATTTCAAAGTTTTAGGAAATATTACTCTAAAATGATTCAAAATTGATCTACTGAATCTTTGTAAACTTAAATCTGATTGGTTTCTCCGTGTCAATGAATGTCGTGTAGATAAAATCTGTATTCCAGGACTCGGGTTCTAATTCTACCTTCAGCTTCTGGAGAACCTGTACACAAATAAACATAGGAACATAATCAAAATTCTTATACGCTTTTTCGATGGAGTTTTATTATTAGATAATATCGTAATAAAACCTCACTTTAGAAGCAGCCAGATAAATTTCCTGAACAGCAAAACGTCTGCCAATGCAGTTCCGCGGCCCGTGACCAAACGGTAAAACCGCCATGCTGTTTGTGTTGTCCTGTTTACGACCATCGTCTGCTCGCATCCATCTCTCTGGGATAAACTTGTCTGGGTCTTCAAAGTATTTTTTGGCGGCTCTTTGGTTGCACAAAAATATTGTAGTCTGTTTGAAAATAGATTTAGGCATACATGTGCACGTCTTGTAATCAGTGGTGAACCAACAGTTCAGCCGGAAATGAAATGTCTTAGAGCTGCCAAAAGTAATCTAAATATTATTTAATAATTTAAAATCACAATAAAGGTTTTTGGGCATTCGACCTATTTGGTCAAATGACCATTTGGTCAATAGTGGTATTTAGAAAAACTTCCATTCGGGATAATGGCATTCAGGTAAGTATCTTTTGTTGATTCACTAAGTTTACATTTTCGATTGGTTGCAGTTAAATTATCCAGTTAAAATTTAATAAAAAGTTGCGCAACCCCTCTAAAAAGGTTTATGCATTCAAACCAGAACTATTTAAATTTAAAATGACAAGGGAAATTATATTTACCCCAGCTGGTATGTTGTAGCCACTAGCAACGATATCTTTCGGCAATATTCTCATAGTACCTGCTACGGTTGGGTAGTTTAGTCTGTTGAGTTAAATTTGTACTTAATTATCACAGACATATTTGTTAGAGGATAAGAACTTTATAGGTATCTCAATAATAAGAAATTTTCTACAACTTCCGCTGTGTTAACCCATTTTTCTTCACATATAGAGCGGTCAATGTTGAGTGACAATATTGGATAAAACGTACCTAAAAGATTTAATGCTATATTACCTGAAAGATTCCTTTAGACAGTGCTTCAGGTAAGGCATTTTTGAAAGGGCTTTAGCATCCACTACACCTGAATCTCCAAGAACATCCAAAATTTCTTTTCTAAGAATTTCCTGTTTGTCTGGGTTTTTAGCCAAGTTGTAGAACAAAACTTGAAGATTCTTTGCTGTCTGTAAACAGTCAGAACTTACGTTTGTATTTTTGTTTTAACACCATTTTGTTAAACAACGTTACATAATGCTACGGGTGGTAGACCGTATAATTGTTAACCATTTTTCTTCATCTTCTTAATTGAAAAGTTTGAAGGGATTTTCTTCAAAATAACTAAGTATTACCTGTTAACTTTTTATGCGCCATAAAGACCGTAAACTCCGGTTTTCGCCTGCTTTTCTTTTTGAATTTGCTTCCATAGTCGTTGTTCAACCAAGAACAAACAACAAGAGAGAAATTGTGTAATTTTATTGTTATCTCTCCTAGATGGGTTTTTGTACTGTTAATACGAGTTAGGATGCAGGGCTTGAGACTGTAGTTACTCAGTGTGTCCATCCTTCTTGGATGGGTACCTCAGTAAGTTAGGGAACGTAAAGGTGGCTGGGCATATGGCTGACTGCTGACAACACTATCACTTCATATGGTGGTGTAGTAGAAACAGATTAACTCTACTTCATCTGACCCATATACCACTAGGTTCAAAATGATACCTTAACTTACGTTTTATGAATACCTCGTGCATTTCATCAATGTGTCTTTACTATAATTCAATCTGATATGTATATGTATATTGCACCAATCGCAAAATTAATACACAATACACAGACCCATAGGTGCAGTTTTTATATTTACAACCCTGTACCCAGAATTACTAAATTTATTGCATATTTTGTCAAAGTTAAGATTAAGGTAGAGTAGGCTACTGTTTGTTTCTGAGAATAGTAGTGGAAACGGCTGTTACAAAATGTATTTTTAAAAGCTTAATCAGCAATTTTTTTTAAAGCTTTACACTGCCCAACCTGCAATTTAGTCAACCTAACGGTAACGAAATTATTGTGCACACAATAAAGACAGACAGACGGTCAGGGTTACAAAACTAAGCTTTTCCGTCTCCAGAAGTTTAAGAAACGTTAACTTTGTTAAAATCTTCGATTTAGACTTTTTGCAAAATGCGGTAGGCCCACATCATTTATATTCCGTAAACAACAAAGTAGGGAGGTGTAAAAAAAAAGTTTAAAATTGTCAAAATATCTATAAATTATTCAGCACATTTAAAATACTCCCTCTATACTCTGTGCAAAAGAGAAAAAAAGTTAACATACTCATTTGTTTCTTAACTTACAGAATCGGTTCCAGCCCCATATAGTGAGTCTAATATGTTACTGACGTCATCGTCGTCTAGACCTTTTTCTGATACAAGGGAGAGAAGTAGGTTTGGTTCATCCGGGTTTAACGTCCCATCTTTCTTCTGTTGCTCGATTACTTCTCGTGCTTCTAAAGCATGTTTTTTCGAATTGCTTATGAAAAAAATATTATAAAGGAGTCAACGTAATTTAGAAAACTTAAATTAGCAACCATAGCAGATCTTTAAAATTAATCCACAATATCTGTCTGCATAGCTGGTAAATATAGTAAAAAACTTTAGAAACTATATTTGTTTAACCAAATTGGGGAAGGAGAACTTGGAAACTAGTACGTACTCACATACAAGTTAAATAACAATTAGAAATTAAATGTAAGCTTGTCTTACTTTCGAATGGCCCACACACTTTTCTCCATATCCTTATAGGCCTTGCTTTTGTACCATTTGAGAGTAAATAATTTACCACCGATGGCATCAGAGAGTATTGTGAAAGCCGTTTTAGTGGCTGCAAGAAACTCTGATGACTCCTTATCTGACGACTGATCCAGGAACCCCAGTCTGGTATTAAATGTCACCACTGCTATACCTTTATAAATTATATATATATATATATATATATATATATATATATATATATATATATATATATATATATATATATATAATAAATTGATTTAATCTGAATTGAAGTATTCTAGAAATTCAAAATTAGATTAGTCGTGTTAAGGGATAATTGATTTTTTAAGTTTTAAATGTTTTAAATGATATATTTTGCAAATTGTATTCACTGTGTAGAAATAAGCTAATATCGGAATAGAATTTGGGTTTTGGATATCAAGAAGAGTATAAAAAATACATTCTTACAAAACCCTGTTATAATTCTAATCAGTTTAATGGTTGAATTTAGTTGTTGATTAAACATGTTTATTTTAAAATATGATTATTGCGATGGCTTGTAAAACCTTTAAAAAAATTAAAAGTGTAGCAAAAGTATACGTTTCAGTTTTAGCTATAAAATATTTTTGTACTCCATACTCTCAGAAGCAAATCGAAAGAAAAGATCTTTCATTTCCTCCGGTGTTAACTTTTGTGTGGCCAAAATGTTGACAAAATCATCAGCTACGGCGTTCTGTGGGACCAGGTAATGATGGGCCGAGTCAGCTTTCATTAGTCTTTTGTTGACTGGAGTTCTCAGGGCATGCCACTGCTCTCCTTGTCTGATAAAAAAGAATACAATTAAAGCTTGTTTTAAACTAGTTGGCTTGTATTCTCATTTTTGTTTTGTTTACGGGAGTTCTCATGGCATGCCACTCTTCTCCGCGACAGATGACAATAAAAATAAAACTTTAACAAGATAGAAATATAAAAATGGACTGGTTTAACGTTATAATGTACATAATGCATACATATGCATTACATAAGACATAAAAATCCATTTAGATTGATATTGTGGTAAAGAAAACAACACTGTGACTACCCTTTTGCAAAAAGAATAGTAGGAAATAAAGATTTACTTTTCCAAAATCATGTCAGGTACTAAACAGAGCTGTGTTGACTCAGTTATGTCAACAAACCAGCCTCGAGAATGCCTAGTGAGCTTTTTATTGCTTATCTCCTCAACCACCCTCTGCTTTAAGTTATGAAAATTAAGTGACAGCATGATCGTGTTGTAAATGTACGACTTATGGGTCAATATATTTTCAAGTTAAAAATCATAAACGTTAATATCAATTATTAAGCACGTTACAAATATTACATGTCGCCAAGTCCGAATTTGAGTCCATTATTCTCATATACAATTTTGGTAATTTCAATTCCAGGTCTATTTGGATATTTGCCCTCATTTCTGAAGACCGCCTCAATGTCTTTTATATCCTCCAACAGGACACATTTCCTTCCAAGCTGGACTCGAACCACAGGCCCATACTTCTCGTGCAAACTGTCAATAAGCTTGTGAGTAGTCTGAGGGGTAAATTTACCTGGAATAACAATAAAACATGTCGCACTCGGTTTGAACGTTTGACCACCCCACATCCATAAACGTTACATGTCCTCCCCCCCCCTTCAACAACTCAAGTGACCCATGGATTAGCAATCATGTGTTTTGTCCCACTCCCAGCTGCTATGAGTTGGGTTTGCTAGGTGAGAATTAATGTTGGTGCGTAAGAGATATTGAATGCATAGTATGATGACGTGGATGAAAGACAGTGACGTTTTGTGATAGAAACTGGTTGCTGTGGAATGAAATCTAGTGAGTACGGGCTAGATAGTGAATGTAAGAAGCAGTCCGTGTGATGTCCATATCAATGATAATTGTATACGAATTTAATGAGGCCAGTAGTTGAATAAATATTTAAAGTAGAAAATAATGCGCATTTTGTCAAGTAATTATCGCCCGTATCTTTGTGATCTGTAATGGCTCACTATGGTAGTGACATTCTTACTTGGTACTGGATCACGTCTGGTTTAACCATCTCACAGTTCTAACATTGGTGGAGCAGCAGAGCAAATATTATATTATGAGATAATAAGACAGCCAAAACTTCTCAGTGAACAAATCAACTTGTTAAATTATAGTATATATCTTGAAACCTTCTTGAAAACCTCATTTCATATGTTTGTGAACTCGCAACACCGTCATATAACCCTATTTTATTTTATTCCAATATATCATCTCATATTTTATATTTATTATTTAACCCATCAAGTTTTTATAACATTTATACCTCCAGTCATGCTGTTAAAAACCTAAGTTATTATCTCTGTATAATAACATGGCTTTTATTTGTGTTCTTATTACCTAAATAAAGTATCGGCTATCTTATTCTGTACGGCAGGGATATAAAACATTAATACTAATAGTTTCGCTGTCTGTGTATGTATCTGACAAGAACGCTCTGTCTGACAAGAACGCTCTAGAGAAAACACAAGGAAATTAAAAACATGCATAGTAATTCGAAAAACGAAGTATGACGCGGTCACATTTAGCACAGAGTAGAAAATAATCTCAAGCCGGAGAGTGCACACAGTAATATGACGTCATTAATTCTCGAGTAAACATTGAATAAAAAGGCAATTTTGTCTAATCTTAAAAGTGGTTTGCGTGAAGAGTTTCTTTCATACAATTCTTCGGGTAGGGGCGAAGCCCCACCCCCGTGTAAGAACGTCTGAGCCCCCTCCCCCCCCTAACTCAAAAGAAATTTCTTCATCGATATTCTATAATAAAATTACCGCCTAATTAATGTGTCTAATCTAAAAAGTGGTTTTCTTGCAATTTCTTTAATGCAATTCTTCGGGTAGTGGCTAAGCGCGACACCAGTGTTTCTTTCAGACTTGTGGGTTGGTTTTAGTTTAGAGAAAAGAGACAGCACTATCAGCCTAGCGCCCGTTGTATCCTTCCTCCATTTTTCTCGTGTGAAAATTGTAGTCTTGTAGTATTAATACCCATCTAGTTAATTTACATTTTTTCCCTATTTAGTGCAACGAAGGGTGCGTGGTCAATCATCAAAGTAAAAGGTGCTCATAAAAAGTACTTTGCCAACTTGGTTACAGCCCAAACTATTGCCATTCTCTTTCAGTAATAACTGAGGCGTAGCGACCCTTCCCGGTGCCCGGGGACAAACTTTCGATTTGCACCCCCCCTCCTCAAGATTTCGATTTGCACCCAACCTCAAGCTTTCAATTTATTTTTCCAACCCATTTTGGCGCCCCCTAAGGTCGGCGCCCGGGGACATACGTCCCCCTCCCGCTCCCCCTCGCTACGCCTCTGAGTAATAACATAGTTTTTTCTGCTAGAGAATATTTCCGACTGATAAATATTCCATCTGTTTCCTCCATTAGGCATGCAAGTATACCACAGGTTTATGATATCAGGGTTACAGGATAAAAAAGTCCGGGACTAACTTGTTCGATAAAAAAAAAATCATGGGTAAACATTATCTTAAAACCTAAGCACCTCTTCCTCACAATCCCAAAGAAAATTAGATTTTTTTTTAACAACTATGTTAGTCCCATATCATTTTATCTTGGAGCCCTGAGACAACAAAACTATGTTAATGTTAGGAACAAAACCGACGCAAACAAAGAAAGTGGAGAGAGCACCCAAACTATAAATGGATATTGGATCTGAAGAGCAGGTAAGTTACGATCCCAATCTACACTCACTTCAACCTCCTACGCGAGTGGCGGCGTTGAGTGACACCCGACCTAGAGACGCTACTAAGGTTATTCTTCATATTACAAAATTTAATGAAAAAAAAAAGCGTTATATTACTTAAAGGCTACTTACCGAAAGGCTTGAAATGAAGGACTGATCCGACGAAGGGTATATTGTAAATTCCTTTTGGGCCTGGGATCTCTTCAAAAGGTTTCACCTCATCTTTGTTGGCACTTCTGGCCACTGACGTCCATCTAATTGGTTGGCTTTTGATAAAGTTTGGAATAACCCTTGAAACTACGGCACTATTTCTCATCATTGTTTTAGACTAGAAATTCAGAAAAAAAAATCAAATGCAAGCTTTTTTATTAATATGGTGAATCTTTGAAAAATATATATGGAATGGCGTGGCCCAGTGTTAAAGAATACGTTCTATAATGGTTAGCTGACTCGTGGCACGGAATAGACCCTTACGTGAACAGTCTTCAATGGTTCATTAAATATTTTAAAAGCCGGGTGCGTAGTTATGATAATAAATGTGGTTAAAAAAACTAATTTGCTTGGTTTGATGACTGTTTTTATATCAAAATGCATTGTAATCGATTCTAGAACTATATGAACAGTTTTAAAGAAATCGGTCCGGTAGAAGAAAGCTATATATTAATCAACGATACTCTAGTTATCGGTATTTAAAAACAAACAAAAACAGATTGAAGTATCGTTTCCGTTTATCAGAGGTCACTAAATAATGTAAGTAATCCAAATATAAGATCTTATATATAAAATTTCGTCTACCTAACTGAAACAGTACTAATATAATAGTGATTACACGGAAATGAAGTACAACTTCTGTTAACGCGAAAAGGTTCAAAATTTGATAGAAACATGTGCATACAATGTAATAGGTATATTTGAAATTTAATCAACCTAACTTAAACGGCACCAATCTAGTTCTCGTGTTCACCGACAGACACATACACAGACACACACACATACAAACAAAATTGCAGCACAAAGTTTTCCGTACTCAGGGAGGTGTAAAATGTCGACACTTGTCAAATTTGATGTCGATTTTTTTTCCACGACTACAATACTTCATTTATACTTCGTGTACAGTGAAAGTAAAAATATAGCTCATAAAATCCACAATTAATATTTACTTTTCGTTTTTATAAAAAAACTTTCAAACAAACATAAACTTAATCTTTCTTTATTCATTCTTTTTGTTTATTTAAAAACATATTGTAAAGAATGTACACACCTTCATTCTATTGTGTTTATAACTAACGCTTTTATGTATTAAAAAAAAGTACTAGTGAAGACGACTCTTACCTTTAAGATGAAACACGTAAAGTTCTAAATCGAGTGTTCTTATGTAACATTCTAACACTGACCTATTTTCTATCCCTAACCCTCCAGCACCAGCAGCGAATGTGCAGTGACCCGTGAAGCACAGACCGTAAAATTCGTCTACGTTTATTGCAGCAGTGTCGTGTTCAGAATGCGATCCTTTAAAAAAATCATTTAAATAATTTTGTTTAATGTAGAATGCAAGCCTGTTTTGACTGTTAAATTCCACGTATCAAATCTACATTGAATAGAATTTTGGTACGCTAAGGGTTAATATAATTCTAAGCGTACACTTATCAAAATAACATTTTGAATGTTTCTTTAGCCGTTGAATGATGTAAAAAAATGTGAGTAAATTTGCGTGTTCGTTATTAATAGTATTAACCGTGTTAATGTTAATTTATCCTGATTGGTAATAATAAGCACTAAATGCGATTTTAAAATATTTTTTTTAATCTCAGAATATGTAATATTGTTTAGAAAGATATCTTACTGGTATCCGCCTATGCTGAACAGTAACAACAGAGTTAAAGGTAACACTAATATGTGTGTACCAGTGGAGGTTACAAGCAATTGAATACATGTGTAGTTCAGCTGTTGAGAGAATAGAGACAGAAGGGGAAGAATCGTGGCGAAATAACAGGTTGGGACACTGTGGAATACCAGACGTAATAAAACACGGGTCAAGAAGCTAGTAACATTTTACACGGTTTCTGACTAAGTGCGCAATTATGATTCATCATCATCATTTCCCGTTCGTTCCTAAGACACTTGGGGCACAAGAAGTAAAGTTCATCTGCTTCAGGGACCTCAATATACCGTGGGCAGCACTTTGCGTAGCCGCCTGTTTCCTTAACGTAATTTAGGTATCCAATATGATTTGTCATTAAAAAAATTCAACCCAATTTCAATACATAAGCAGTCGTTATTTAAAATTGTAGAATTTAATAGTAGGCAGATAAGAGAAATATAATTGATACAGTTATGTAGCCTGTGACCAAATTGTGTAATCGCAATGCTGTTTGTGTTGTCAAGTTTATGATCACTGCCCAATCTCTTCAATTTCTCTTGGGTGAAATCAGTGGAACATCCCTGAGTCCCCACAACTCTGATGGGTACCTAACGTTAGATAAACAAGGGTTGCTGGGCATAGTGCTGACCACACTATCCATTCATCTGCCCATGTGTCTTGCGCACGAACAGGAGATGATCATGATGAAATGAACGAGTATTGTCTGAACTCGAAGGATCCAGATATTCAACTAATCTTTCTGAAAAGTGGGAAAATTAAAGCAAAAGTAACGTTTTATAAAATTGAAATAAACATTTTTGTTAAACAACCACTGCCGCATGTTATACACAAACTGAAAGAGGATAAATCATTAAACTAAATCGATTTAAGGCAATAAAATATATTTTCAAAGAGAGTTGTTTTTTTTTACATTTTTTATTTGTATATATGAAACATAATGACTGATAGACCAACACATATTACAAATTTTTAAGAATTAAAAAAATATTTCTTAACAGCTTGTGTTTACATCTTGTATTACATTTAAAACATCATTTGTATAAATAGGTTAAATATTCATAATATTGATTATTAGAGTACACATTTACAAATAAAAACAAATTTTCTTCCAGATATATGACATAGTGAGAGATTTGCCATTAATTAACCCAACTTCTTCAGCGACCCACGCTTTTATGAACATGTATACAGTGGCTAATTAAGAGATTTAAAACTCGTATTATTTTTTAAACATTTTAAATGCATCATCAAACTATTTTTAAATTTTAAGTGTTTTTAGATATTTTTTTCAACGTTCTTTCAAACAACTTTTTAATTTCAAAGTTTCAGGTTATACCACTCTAAAAAGATTCCAAATTTATCTACTGAATCTTTGTAAACTTAAATCTGATTGGTTTCTCCGTGTCAATAAATGTCGTGTAGATAAATTCTGTGTTCCATGATTCGGGTTCTATTTCTATATGTAGTTTCTGGAGAACCTTTATAAAAAACATAGGGACATAATCAAAATTCTTATACGCTTTTTAAATGGAGTTTTTAATTATTTTTAGATAATATCGTAATAAAATCTCACTTTAGCAGCCGCCAAATAAATCTCCTGAACAGCAAAACGTCTGCCGATACAATTCCGCGGTCCGTGACCAAACGGAATAACCGCCATGCTGTTTGTGTTGTCCTGTTTACGACCATCGTCTGCTCTCATCCATCTTTCTGGGATAAACTTGTCTGGGTCTTCAAAGCATTTCTTGGCGGCTCTTTGGTTGCACATGATTATTCTTGTCTGTGAGAAATTGATTCAATAATAGCGTGCAGAAGTAAGACTTTAATCAGTGGCAAAAAAATAGAGCCCGTGAAACCTATATTGAGGGTGGCAGTGATTTGGTATATAAGGTCGAGTCGATTGAGAGACTCAAATTTATTGAAAATGTGTTTCAATATTTAAAAAAATGCTATAACGTTTTTTTTCCACCAGCATTAGAAATAACTTTTGATACAGCTTTAAAATCTATGAAGGGGAAGAATATAAAAAAAATTAACAGAAAAATAAAATTACCCCAGCAGGAATGTTATAGCCACTAGCTACGATATCTTTCGGCAGAATTCTCAAAGTACCCGTGAGGGTTGGGTAGTTCAATCTGTTGAATTAAAAAAGAAAAACTTTAAAAAGTATCGTCTTAGAAGTTAGGCTTTTGTTCTATGATGATAGACCATCAACAAGAACTCTCCAAGGCATATCGACAGTGATCTAGCAGTAGTGAGATCCCGTCATTCTTGTCTCCAACAAAAGGGTAAAGTTAACGTTTACACGCGGATGTTGATTACAACAATGATCTACCTGAAAGATTCCTTTAGACAATGCTTCAGGTAGGACATTTTTGACAGGGCTTTAGCATCCACAACACCGGATTCTCCAACAGCTTCCAGAATTTCTTTTCTAAGAATTTCCTGTTTGTCTGGGTTTTTAGCCAAGTTGTAGAAGAAAACTTGCAGGTTCTTTGCTGTCTGTTAACAGTTAAAAATCGATATCTATATTTCTACTTTAAAATACCCAGTCTTTACACAATCTGAAATACCATGTTATATTGCCGAGGGAAACGAAGTAACCGATACATTTCGTCTTCAACTATATCTTTGTCGGTCTGTAGATTGCAATGGCCATGAAATGTATACCCTACAAATGAATAACGACCACTATTTACATTTGGGCACCCAAATTTAACAGGATTTGGTTTGGTATTTTTTACCATTTTATGATTTTACATGTGGGCCTAATGTGTGCAAAGTTTTTGAGGAGTTTACATTGTGCTTTATGTGTGATCAGCAACGGTTTGAGAGTTTCATATTGATTAACATACCATGATGACACAAGAGAACTGTTCAATTAAAAATTAAATTAAAAAAAACAACTATTATTACATTTTTTTTCATAATCATACTATGATTTCGTAAATCGTTAAAATTACAGTAAATTATGTAAATTGGTTTAATTAGTTTTCGTAGTTTACCCTACAATAGATGGTTTCTTGTTTTTGAATAAATGAGTTTTTAGTTAAGCTTTGTGTATTATTATTTTTATTCTAGGGTCAAAATATTTTGCTTATTTCGATCTCTAGGAAAAAAAAAGATAAATACTAATAATAACATTTTTAGACTTACAGAGTCAGTACCAGCCATGTAGAGTGAGTCCAGTAAATTACTGATGTCCTCATTCTCCAAACCTTTCTCTGATGCAAGGGAGAGAAGTAAGTTTGGTTCCTCTGTATTCAGTGTTCCATCTTTCTGCTGCTGTTCAATTATTTCACGTGCTTTTAAAGCATGTTTCCTCGCATTTCTTGGGAAAATAATATTGCAGATTAAAAACGTTTTTTTTTTAAATTATCGTTTATGATTTTTATTTTGATAATTTAATATTATTTTGACAACTTTATCACTTTTTGCTTTGGCTTCATAATGCCGAGATACATAAAATAAACTTGACTTGAAATTAAATATAACGAGCCGGCCCGCGGCATAACATACGCCGCTATTTAGTTGTTTCTAATTTTCAATAATTCATAATTTGTGAATTCGACAGTACCAACGCTGACACTGAAAATATTTCTTTAAAACACTATAAGTAGCTCGTTAAGGACCATAACCCCCCCCCCCTTTCCTTCCCCCCCCCCTCCCCCCCCCTACGTTTAAAATCGTTGGCTCTGCTTGTAAACATTTAGAGTGAACACAGCTCACTAAAACCATGTAGGGGTGGGGAGGTAGGGAGAGCGTTTGCAGCTTGTTTTCTAACGGCTCGAAGAGGAGAATTATATATATAGATTAAATATAATTAAAAAAGATTTTCTAGATAAAACATGAGGCAAATATGTTACTGAGCGTTTTTAGAAATTATCATCAACTTACTTTCGTATGGCAAAATAAGATCTCTCCAAATCCAGGTAGGTCTTGCTCTTGTAAAATTTATAGGAGAATTCTTTACCACTCAAAGTATCAGCGATTATAGAGAACACTCTTTTAGTTGCTTCAAGAAACTCTGATGATTCTATATCGCACGAGTGATCCAGGAATCCCAGTCTGGTGTTAAATGTCACCACTGCGATACCTGAATGTAATTCGAAAATGATTATGCTAAAATTTTATTATTACTTTTTCATTTCTAAACATGGGTAATCAGTGCAACTAAAAAGTATTTGGAAGTTCAAATTTCTTTTAATAATACGATACATCAATTTAATTCAATGTGTAAATAAAATATATAAATATAAAGCCTATAAAAAATATAAAAAAATCTATAAAAAATAAATTAAATATCGTCAGATTATTAAAACCATTTTTTTATCCGTCTCCCCTTAAAATAAATAAAATCTGAGTATTGATTTGTTTTTCTTCTACAAACCTATAAATTAAAAAATATTATTATTGCTTTACTTTGACATTAGAAAAAAAAGTGTGGGGAGCCTGTAACGATTAAATATTAAATTAACTATCATACCTTACTATAATCATAAGATAAAAGTTTAAAAATAAAATTCTTAAATATATTCAGAGTATACTTTTATTGTCGAAGCAAATACTAACTTTCAGATGCAAAACGAAAGAAAAGATCTTTCATTTCTTCCGATGTTAACTTTTGTGTGGCCAAAATGTTGACAAAATCATCAGCTACGGCGTTCTGTGGGACCAGGTAATGATGGGCCGAGTCAGCTTTCATTAGTCTTTTGTTGACTGGAGTTCTCAGGGCATGCCACTCTTCTCCTTGGCTGATGGCATAGAATAAATAAGAAACGTTGCTATGTGTCGCAGTCAAGGTCAACGGTATAAATTCATAACACATACATACGAATTACGCATTGATATTGACATAACAATCCACAGGGAAAGATAAGCTCTGGTATATAAAAAACTCAGAATTTATTTCACCAAGTCTATTCACGCACACATATGCAATCAAGATTGATTCAGAAACTCAGATAAAATTTACTGAATAATTACACTTAGCTATCCCGATTAACAGAAACATTTTCATGTTATAATAATAAATGTTAATTTAACTAGTTAGGTAATTAAAGTCAATATATTATTACATTTGGCTAAGTCCTAGCTTAAATCCATTCCTCTCAAAGAACATTTTAGAAATATCAATTCCAGGTCTATTTGGATATTTGCCTTCATTCCTAAAGACCGTCTCAATGTCTTTTAAATCCTCCAACAGTACCGTCTCCCCTCCAAGCTGGACTCGAACCACAGGCCCGTACTTGTCGTGTAAACTGTCTATAAGCTTGTGTGTAGTCTGGGGTGTAAATCGACCTGAACAAACGTAAAAGTATGTTCTACCAAGTTTTTTTAAATATTGTGTGTCAATTGTAAATAACATAGGGCATTTAAGATCATATTCTTCAACTATCATTATTAAAAAGCTTGACGTTCTCAAAATGACATCCAACAATCTACGATGCGAAACAAACAAAATTACATTGTGGACCCCGAGACCCTAATCTGTGACCGTACATATCAGCAATCACTTCATCAACTGATTCAGTCCCAAATCAGCTTTGACTTCACATTTCTAAATGCTGATGCCTTCTTCTACCTTTAATTCCCACTTATACGTATAATTTAGATACTCATAGCAATTTTCCAATAATTTAAAACAGCACAGTATGCATAATTTGTAAAAGAATAAATGTCTAAATAACAAACCTTATTCATGCTCAGTCAACACATATACAATATTATATATATATATATATATATATATATATATATATATATATATATATATATATATATATATATATGAAGCCAATGATTGTATAGTGCCGGCAACAAATAAAAATAAAATAAAATAATGTTGTAAGCGCTTACCGAAAGGCTTGAAATGTAGAACAGATCCAATGAAGGGTATATTGTAAAGTCCTTTAGGACCTGGGATCTCTTCAAAAGGTTTCACCTCATCTTTGTTGGCACTACTGGCCACTGACGTCCATCTAATTGGTTGGCTTTTGATTACGTTTGGAATAACCCTTGAAACGATGTCATACCTTCTCATCATTGCTTTAGACTATGTTTACTAAAATAAAATAAAAAAAAAACCCTATTGCAATCTTATTGAAATCAAATGTTAAACAAAGTTTATTCCTACTAACAAATCGTCTGCTAGATACCTTGGTGTAGTGGTAGAGCACTGGATCACTAGCAGAAAATCTCAGGTTCAATTAATGGGTCCTCATTTCACATACCTCAAATAGAAAATAAAAGACGGCTGGGCAAAGTGCTGACCATACTATCACTTTATATACGGAGATCAGAGAAACTCTACTTCAGCTAGGATTTGGAACATCTGGTTTGAAAAAAAAAATACTACTTTCTTTGCACTATGTAAAAGACTGTTTACAAAACCTATAATACCAATTCGTTTTAAGTTAATCTTTTGTCTTCATTAGATCAATCAATTAAAGTTTCGTTAAGAAAACTGTTTTAAAAATGTCTTCACACTGATATTTTATAATAATAAAAAACGAACGTCTACTTACAAAAACAAACAGCTAACAAAATTTCATACCTTATAGATGTGAAGCATATAATCCTACAGCGAGTCTATCTATCGCTGACCCAGATTACAGCCGTACACTGCTGGCACCAGTAACAAGTATGGGTTGACCCCATCAAGCACGAAGCTTAACGTTCGACTAAATTTAGATTTGTAGCGGCGTGTCTGAAATGTGGGTTTATTTTCTTCTCTATCGTTTTCCTTACCTTGCTGTAAAGAAAAGGTCGTTTTTTGATGACAACACTATCCCTTCATATACCGACAGCACAAAAACATACTCCCCCTGCTCCATGGACCTTCGAAAAGGGAACTTTACTTATCCTTTATAGCTGACAAATTCACATTTCTTAAAGTATGGTTTAATTATAGTTTTACGGTAGACTAAGGATAAATGTATATGTTTATGAGATTATGCTACTCTTTAGTAGTAGGGCTAGATTGGGATCAGTTTCTATTCTGTTTAAATTAAATTATGATTAATAAGTAGGCCTATGTCCCATCCTTCCAATATTTCAGTTTATCCTGTTGGATATCTAATAGTATCAGTAGTAGCTTTAAAACAAAGCAGGGACGGAGTGGTCTAGCGGTAGAGAGCTGGACTGCTAAGTCAGAAGACCGTCCCTGAGTCCACCCAACTCTGATGGGTACCTAACTCACGTTACGGAAAGTAAAGGCTGCCCCCACTATCTCTTCATATGCCGAGGTCACAGAAACAAGTGAACTCTACTTCACTTGCCCTAGAGACCGTCAGGTTTGAAAAGGGAGCTTTACTTTTAAAACAAAGCAACCTTGTAACAGAGTCATTTGGACTTAACTGTGTCGGTTTTATAATACATTATAGTATCCGCCTATGCCGAACTGTATCAAAAACATTGACAGGTCGCCAAGGCAGGTTACAAGCAGATTTTTAATACTGGTTAAAAGTCAGCTGTTGAAGTATTAGTGAAAACAAGGGGACTTAAATGCGAGTATCTTAGATGTTTGAATAGATTTTGAAGAGGAAAAAAACACGCCAAATAGTGGAGTTTGCTATATATCACACTGGTCCTTCAGGTTGTGAGTTGGACAAAAAGGTCAGCAACCTAATTTTGTAAACAAATCGAACCTTATGCAGAGACCAAAACCTCAAGCAATAAAGCTTCTAAAACAAGTGAACGGAAATTCTCTAGTTTATATTTTCGTACACATGTGTCTTATGCACAAAAAAGATGATAGATGAATTTATATAGAGCGGTGAACTGGTTGGATTAATTTATACCAAAGCTTTTTTACTTTATAGCTTGCTTTTTATAGACACTTAAAATCTTATACTCAGTTTGGATACATACTCAGTACATAATATCAGAATAAATATAATGCTATGAATTATTGCAAACATTGTTTCCAATATGATGTGTTCTGGTATGCTGATATAAAATTAACAAAAATTGATTCTCCTGTTTTAAAAAGAACACTGTTTGCAAATCAAATTTAAATTTTTAATTAATAAAATAATTAAAACAGTATATGTGTAGCTTTATTGGTAGAAACATTTAATACGTTAATATCATCATTACCACAGTGCTGGTAAAAGTGATAAGAAAATTCCCAGTTAAAAATGTAAAGATAAAAAACAGATATATGTACAGACATAGTTAATATTTTGACAATATATATCACATCAACTGAAATATGTGTAAAATTATTTCAACTTTTATAACATGGAATATAAAAAAACACATAAAATAAGTTAACAATCATATTTAACATGCGGTAGAACTAATCAACTTTTTTTTCGCACAAGTATCTTTTCACTTTTAAAATTTATTTCTAGTAATATTAAAAATTTGCAATATGTAAAGAACACTTGATTATTACATCCCGTTTTCATTATTTAAGAAGCATTTTTAAAATCTTCAATTTTTTAAAAATATCACATTTATTCTTTGCATTTGTAAAGGATACCACAATGCATTTTAATTTAATACTTTTAAAACAAATATATGGTGATAATTAACACTCAAATTAAACACTCAACACTGAGTAAATCTATGAAATGGATAATATAGAACCAAAAAATAATAATTTTTGCCAAAATGTAATTATGTATATATATATATATATATATATATATATATATATATATATATATATATATATATATATATACATACATAAAATGTAATAGTAGGCAAACAAGTGAAATATAAATAGCACTGTGACCAAATTGTGTGATCGCCCTGCTGTTTGTGTTGTCAAGTTTACTGTCCTGGGTGAAATCGGTGGAATGTCCCTGAGTTCCCCCAACTCTGATGGGTGCCTAACTTATTTTAGGGAAACAAGGGTAGCTGGGTATAGTTCTGACCACACTATCCCTTCATCTGCCACATGTGTGTTGGGCTCGAACGGGAAATAATGATGATGAAATGAACAAGTAGTTTCTGAACTCGAAGCGTAAAGGTATTCATTTAATCATTCTTAAAAGTGGGATTTTAAAAGCAAACGTAACGTTTTATTAAATTGAAATCAACATTCTTTTTGAAATAGCCACTACCACATGCTATACAATAACTGAAAGATGATAAACAACTAAACCCAATCGATTCTAGGCAATAAGTGATATTTAAAAATTATTTTCAAAGATAGTTTGTGTTTATATTTTTATTTATATATATGACACATAATGACTGAGAGACCAACACAACTTACATATTTTTAAGAATTTAAAAAACATTTCTAAAACAGCTTGTTTTTACATCTTGTATTACATTTTAAAACATCCTTTGTATAAATTGGTTAAATATTCATAATATTGATTATTAGAGTACACATTTACAAATAAAAATAAATTTTCTGCCAGATATATGACATATTGAGAGAATTGTCACTATATCCCAACTTCTTCAGTGACTCAAAATTTTAATAACATTTACACTGTGGTTAATTAATAGATTTGAAAATCACATTATTTTTTAATTTATTTAATGCATCAATAAAAATATTTAAAACTATAGATGTTTTTAGCTATATTGTTTTCCAAAGTTATTTCAAACAACTTTTTTATTTCAAAGTTCCAGGGAATACCACTCTAAAAAGATTCCAAATTTATCTACTGAATCTTTGTAAACTTAAATCTGATTGGTTTCTCCGTGTCAATGAATGTCGTGTAGATAAATTCTGTATTCCAGGACTCGGGTTCTAATTCTATCTTCAGCTTCTGGAGAACCTGTAAACAAATAAACATAGGAACATAATCAAAATTCGTACACGCTTTATGAAAGGAGTTTTAAATTATTATTAGATAATATCGTAATAAAACCTCACTTTAGAAGCTGCCAGATAAATTTCCTGAACAGCAAAACGTCTGCCAATGCAGTTACGCGGCCCATGACCAAACGGTAAAACCGCCATGCTGTTTGTGTTGTCCTGTTTACGACCATCGTCTGCTCTCATCCATCTCTCTGGGATAAACTTGTCTGGGTCTTCAAAGCATTTTTTGGCGGCTCTTGGGTTGCTCATCAAAATTGCAGTCTTTTAAAAAATATATTTAAATACAATAAAAAACATAATTATTCTAGTCTGCGAGAAATTTATTCAATAATAGTGTACAGAAGTAATACGTAAATCAGTGGCAAAAAAGAGCAGTTGAAACCTTTATTGTGGGATGCAGTGATGGGGTATGTATGGTTAAGTCGTTTGAGATACTCACATTAATATAAATGAAATAAACAATTTAATGTATTGACTGGGTTTTATTTTGATCTTGCTTTCATGAGAGGACCTTTTTTTTTGTTTAAATATTATAAAAATGCTTTAACGCATCCTTTCCACACGAAATTCATTAGAAATAACGTTTGATACAACTTTAAAATCTATGATGGATAAGAAACTATTTTTTTTAAATTACAGAAAAATATAGTTACCCCAGCAGGAATGTTATAGCCGCTAGCTACGTTATTTTTCGGCAGAATTCTCACAGTACCCGTGGCGATTGGGTTGTTCAGTCTGTGGAGTTAAAAAAAGAAAACTTTAAAAGTATCGAAGTAGAAGTTAGCCTGTTTTTCTTTGATGATAGACCATAAACAACAACTTTCCATGTCAACTTGACAGTGAGCTAGAAGACGTTGAATACAACAATGATTTACCTGAAAGATTCCTTTAGACAATGCTTCAAGTAGGACATCTTTGACAGGGCTTTAGCATCCACAAATCCGGATTCTCCAACAGCTTCCAGAATTTCTTTTCTAAGAATTTCCTGTTTGTCAGGATTTTTAGCCAAGTTGTAGAAGAAAACTTGCAGGTTCTTTGCTGTCTGTTTTAACAGTTAAAATTCAACATCTATATTGTTATTTAAAAAAAAACACCTGTCTTTACACAAATTGAAATAATACCATGTTTTATTGCCGAGTGAAGAGACGTAACACATACATATAGTTTTTAACTATATCTTTATCAAGCTGTAGATTGCAGTGGCCATGAAAAGTATACCCCACAAATTAATAACGACCACTATTTACATTTGGTCACCCAATATAACTGGATTTGGTTTTTTTTGGTGATCATTTTATCAAGTTCCATTTGGGCCTACTGTGTGCAATGTTTTGAAGAGTTTACGTTTTGATTTATGTTTGATCAGCAACGTTTTGAGAGTTTTATATTGATTTAAGTACCATGATGGCACAAGGGAACTGTTCAATTAAAAATTAACAACTATTATATATTTTTATAATCATTCTATATCTTTATCAAGCTGTAGATTGCAGTGGCCATGAAAAGTATACCCCACAAATTAATAACGACCACTATTTACATTTGGTCACCCAATATAACTGGATTTCGTTTTTTATGACCATTTTATCAAGTTCCATTTGTGCCTCCTGTGTGCAATGTTTTTGAAGAGTTTACGTTTTGTTTTATGTGTGATCAGCAACGTTTTGAGAGTTTTATATTGATTTAAGTACCATGATGGTACAAGGGAACTGTTCAAATAAAAATTAACAACTGTTATATATTTTTATAAGCATTCTATGATTTTGAAAAATCGTTACAATAACCTTACTTTATGTAGATGGATATAGTTTTTTTTTCGTCAATTAGATTAAGTTTTCAATTGATAGTTAAATGTTTTCGAGTACGTGAATTTGCGGTTAGTCTTTGTGTGTTATCATTTTTATTTTACTGCCAAAACTTTATTCGCATTTCGATCTCTAGAAAAAAAAAGATACTAATAATTATCTTTTAGACTTACAGAATCAGTACCAGCCATGTAGAGTGAGTCCAGTAAGTTACTGATGTCTTCATTATCTAGACCTTTTTCTGATGCAAGGGAGAGAAGTAAGTTTGGTTCTTCTGTATTCAATGTTCCATCTTTCTGCTGCTGTTCAATTGTTTCACGTGCTTTCAAAGCATGTTTCCTCGCATTTCTTGGGAAAATAATATTGCAGATTAAAAACGAGATTTTTGAAATTACCGTTTAATATTATTTTGACAAGTTCATTACTTTTTGCTTTGGATTTATAAAGTATGTCCAGAAAAATAAAATATACTTGGCTGGAAATTAAATATACATCTTTTTTTACATATGACATGATGCAAATAAATTACCAAGAGGTTTTAGAAATTATAATTTTTTAAAAGTTCGCTTACTTTTGTATGGCAAAATAAGATCTCTCCAATTCCAGGTAGGTCTTGCTCTTGTAAAACTTATAGGAGAATTCTTTACCACTCAAAGTATCAGAGATTATAGAGAAAGCTCTTTTAGTTGCTTCAAGAAACTCTAAAGATTCTATATCGCACGAGTGATCCAGGAAACCCAGTCTGGTATTAAATGTCACAACTGCTATACCTGAGTGTAATTCATAAATGATTATGATACAATTTAATTATTACTTTTAATTTTTATACATGGGTAAGCAGTACAACTAAACAAATATTTGGACGTTCAAAATTCTTTTAGTAATACTTTACCTAAATATAATTCAATGTTTAAACAAAATAAATAAAATATCGTCAGCGTGCCGAATACCATAAAAATAGATTCATAAAAAAACATTTTTATTTCTGTCTCCACTTAATATAAATAAAATCCGACTGTTGATTGGTCTTTCTTATACAAACGTCTAAATCCAATACAAAATCATTATTGTTTTACTTTGCCATAAGAAAAAAAAAGTGTGGGGACCCTGTAACATTTGAATATTAAATTAACTATCCTAGCTAACTATCATCATAAGCTTAAAGTTTGAAAATAAAATACTTAAATACTTTCAGTGTATTGTTAAAGCTAATACTTACTTTCAGATGCAAAACGAAAGAAAAGATCTTTCATTTCCTCCGGTGTTAACTTTTGTGTGGCCAAAATGTTGACAAAATCATCAGCTACGGCGTTCTGTGGCACCAGGTAATGATAGGCCGAGTCAGCCTTCATTAGTCTTTTGTTGACTGGAGTTCTCAGGGCATGCCACTCTTCTCCTTGGCTGATTGCAGAGAATAAATAAGAAACGTTGCTATGTGTCGCTGCCAAGTACATGTTGACTATACATGTCTAACACATAAATACGAAACATGCATTGATATTGACATAACAATGCACAGAAAAAGATAAGCTCTGTTATATATAAAATCAGAATTAATTTCACCGTCTATTCTTGGACATATAAGATCTAGATTGATTCAGGACGTCAGATAAACTTTACTAAATATTTACACTTAGCTATCCCATCGGGCTGATATATTTTAATGTTATAGAAATAAATGTCAATTTATATAGTTAGGATGTCAATAATAGTATTACATTTGGCTAAGTCCTAGCTTAAATCCATTCCTTTCAAGGAAAATTTTAGAAATATCAATTCCTGGTCTATTTGGATATTTGCCTTCATTCCTAAAGACCGTCTCAATGTCTTTTAAATCTTCCAACAGGACACTCTGTCTTCCAAGTTGAACTCGAACCACAGGCCCGTACTTGTCGTGTAAACTGTCTATGAGCTTGTGTGTAGTCTGAGGTGTAAATTTACCTGAACAGTCATAAAAGCGTGTGGTATTAATTTAAAAAAAATAATTGGTGTCAATTGTAAATAACATAGGGCATTTAAGATCATGTTCGTTAACTCTCATCATTAAAAAGGCTGACATTCACAAAATGACATCCAACAATCTACGATGCGAAACAAGCTAAATTACATTGTGGACCCCGTGACCCTTACTCGCGACCGTACATATTAGCAATCACGTAATCAATCAACTGATGCCCAACGCAGTCCCAAATGAGCTTTAACGTAACTTTTTAAAATGCTCATGACTAGTTCTATCTTTGAATACCCACTTACACTTATAGTTTGATTTTTTTTTTCTGCGTGCCATTTTATCCTTGTAATTTTCCAATAATTTAAAACAGCACTGTCTGCATAATTTGTAAGAATAAATGTCTAAAGAGCATACGTTATTCATGCTCAGTAAACACACACATACAATATATATATATATATATATATATATATATATATATATATATATATATATATATATATATATATATATATATATATATATATATATATATATATATATATATATATAGTGAAGCCAATGATTGTACATAGAAAAAAGAATTGTATATGTGTTTACTGAAAGGCTTGAAATGCAGGACAGATCCAATGAAGGGCACATTGTAAAGTCCTTTAGGACCTGGGATCTCTTCAAAAGGTTTCACCTCATCTTTGTTGGCACTACTGGCCTCTGACGTCCATCTAATTGGTTGGTTTTTGATTAAGTTTGGAATAACCCTTGAAACAATGGCATATCTTATCATCATTGTTTTAGACTATGTTTGCTGAAATAAAATATTGAAAATAAAAACCTATTACAACCGTATTGAAATCATATGTTAAACAAAGTTTTTTCCTACTAACAACTCGTCTGCGAGACACCCTGGATTAGTGGTAGAGCACTTTATCACTTGTCGAAAATCTCAATTTAAATTAAAGGGTCCTCATCCCACATAGCTAACTGGAAAATAAAGAAGAGATTGGCAAAGTACTAATAATACTATAACTTTACATACGAAGGTCAGAGAAACTCTACTTCAGCTACGATTTGGACCATGTGGTGTGTTAAAAGTACTGTTCTATACTCTATGTAAAAGACTGTTTATAAAAACTATAATACCAGCACGTTCTAAGTTTATCTTTTATTTTCATTCGATCAATCATTTAAAGTTTCGATGAAAAAATCTTTTTAAAAATGTCTTCACACCGATATATTATGGTTTAATTAACTAACGTCTACTTACAAAAACAAACAGCTTAAAACAGTTCTTACCTTATAGACGTGAAGCATTTAATCCTACAGCGAGCCTGTCTACCGCTGACCCAGATTACAGCCGTACCCTGCTAGCACCAGTAACAAGTATGGGTCGACCCCATCAAGCACGGGGCTTAACCTTCGACTAAATTTAGATTTGTAGCGGCGTATCTGAAATGTGGGTTCATTTTCTTCTCTATCGTTTTCCTTACCTTGCTGTAAAGAAAAGGTCGTTTTTTTGATGACAACACCATCCCTTCATATACCGACAGCACAGAAACATACTCCCCCTGCTCCATGGACCTTCGAAAAGGGAACTTTACTTATCCTTTATAGCTAACAAATTCACGTTTCTTAAAGTCTGGGTTAATTATAATTTTACGGTAGACTAAGGATAAATGTATATGTTTAATATGTTTATGAGATTATGCTACTCTTTAGTACTAGGGCTAGATTGGGATCAGTTTCTATTCTGTTTAAATAAGATTAATAAGCAGGCCTATGTCCCATCCTTTCAATGTTTCCGTTTATCCTGTTGGATATCTAATTGCTTTAAAACAAAACAACCTTAGAAGAGAGTCAATCGGACTTTGCTGTGTTGATTTTATATAACATTATAGTATGCGCCTATGCTGAACTGTAACAAAAACATTGACAGGACGTCAATTTCCCCAAGGGAGGCTACTGGCATATTTTTTAATTCTGGATAAAAGTCAGCTGTTCAAGGATAAGTGAAAACAAGTGTACTTAAATGCGAGGGTCTTAGATATATTTGAATAGATTTGAATAGATTTTGAAGCGGAAAAAAACACACCAAATAATGTAGGTTTTTATATAGCACCCTGGTCCTTCAGGTTGTGAGTTGGACAAAAAGGTCAGCAACCTAATTTTGTAAACAAATGGAACCTTCTGCAGAGACCAAAACAGCAAGCAATAAAGCTTATAAAACAAGTGAAAGGAAATTCCTCTAGTTTATTATTTTCGGATCGACGTGTCTTGTGCACGAAAAGAGATGATAGGTGAATTTATATAGAGCGGTGAACTGGTTGGATTAATTTAGACCAAAGCTTTTTTACTTTATAGCTTGCTTATTATAGGCACTTAAAATCTTATCCTCAAACATTTTGGATACATACTCAGTACATAATATCAGAATAAATATAATGCTATGAATTACTGCAAACATTCTTTCCAATATGATGTGTTCTGGTATGCTGATATGAAATTAACAAAAATTGATTCTCCTGTTTAAAAAAAACACTGTTTGCAAATAAAATTTAAAATTTTAATTAATAAAAAAAATAAAACTGTATGTAGCTTTATTAGTAGAAACAATTAATACGTTAATATCATCATTACCACAGTGCTGGTAAAAGTGATAAGAAAATTCCCAGTTAAAAATGTAAAGATAAAGAACAGATATATGTACATATATAGTTAATATTTTGACAAATTATATCACATCAACTGAAATATGTGTAAAATTATTTCAACATTTATAATATGGAATATTAAAAAACAAATTTACAAAAAGAAATATAAAATAAGTTTACAATCATATTTAACATGCGTTAGAACTAATCAACTTTTTTTCGCACAAGTATCCTTTCGCTTTTAAAATTTATTGCTAGTAATATTAAAAATTGGCAATATGTAAAGAACTTCTTCTTTTCTTCTTCTTCGTTCTTAATTATTAGTGTTGAAGGGGATCGAGATTTATCTGCCAGTGGGTTTTGAACTCGAGACTTTGTTCGAATTTATCAACCATGAGCTTTTTGCCGACTCGACCACGCCTCCAACACAATTAAGCGTTACGTGTCAACTGGTTATGCGCCATTGAGGCCGTTGACTCCGATTTCAGCCTGCTTTTCTTTTTGGATTTACTTCCATAGCCTTTTGTCCAACCAAGAACAATCTACAAGGCAGCAGTTCTTTAATTTTGGAGTTGTTTCTCCTAGAAGAGTGGCTGTCCCCAGCTAACGAGCCTCATCTGCCCGAGGGTTCGAACTCGAGACTTTTCGGTTTAGCAACCATGAGCTTTACCGACTCGACCACGCCGACCCCTATGTAAAGAACAATTGATTATTACATCCCGTTTTCATTATTTAAGTATTATTATCATTATTTAACCCCTACCCAGCCCCCCCCCCCCCCCCGTGAAAGCAGGCTCCTCTTAGTTACCTCCCCTAAGTTTAAAATCGTTTCAAACTAAATTATCTGCCCCTAATAGCCGTCATTAAACCCGGCTCTATGATTGTAAACATTTAGCGTGAACTACAGCTCACCAGACCATGTGGGGGTGGGGGTGGTAGTGATGTGCCTAGAGAGGAAGAGAGGTGGCTGCTAGGTGCGCTTACAGCTTGGTGTTTTCTAGGGTATTCAAGAAGAGAATTATATATTACGAGCCGACCCGCTGCGTATCATACGCCGCTATTTATTTTTTTTTCTTTCTACTTTTCAGTAATTTATAATTTGTGAATTGGACAGTACAAATGCTGCCACTGAAAATATTTGCTTAAAAACACTAAACCCCCTCCCCCCCCCCCCCCCCCCCCCCACGTGAAAGCAGCCTCCTCTTAGTTACCTCCTCTAAGTTTA